CCTACCAGTCAGCATGTAGGAGAATCGGAAATTTGCAGGCTAATAGCAAAAATATTCCTTAGACCTCCTCTCCTGTCACTCCAATCACCGTTAGAGGATGGTCCATACAGGCGTCGGGCAGTTGGAATAAAGGGATGGAAGCATTTGGGCACCAGGTCAAGAGAGGCAAGAACACTGGGATGAAGAAGGGCATAATCCAGGGACAACTGAGGTTTGTCACTTAGAATACAGGGACTCAATTTAAGGACAAGTGGCTCAGTTCATTTATTCAGGCTCTGTAAAGCTGGTGAGGCCCAGGAGATAATCTGGGTAAGATTTTCATTATAATAGTTAATAGGTTAAATAGGTTTATTTAAAGTGAGATATACCACGTTTTTCAAACTTTTTAATATACATTTTTAAGTACTTTCATTGCTACGTTTTAAGTGTTTTTCTTCTAACAAATTGACAAATGCCTTTTCAAGGATATTTATGTTAAATTACTAGAAGACCTCATTTTCCTCTTAAAGATACCCTTTTTACTTTGATTGGTCATGAGTAAATTTTGGCAAAATTTAGATGACAAAACAAACTTTTAAAGTGATTCAGAAAGTACCAAGAATTTATTAGCCAACACTTGCCTAAACATTGCTGTTAACTTTGCTCTTACCAAGTATATAGCTTAAAATCCCAAAGAATCTTTAGTAGAGCTCAAAAAGATGCTGTCTGAAGATAAGCTTGTAAATATTCTAAGAAAAATATTTTCACAAAATCCAGATTTTTTTCCCCCCTTATATGTTGTTTTTTCTTGGTCATGAAATCAGACAGTCTTGAATCTATGTCTGGGAATGATTTAATCTAAAGATCCAGCTTTTATTTTTGTCTTGACTTCCTGGCTAAGAGAAAAAGATAAGATACTGCTGAATTCCCAATTAAACGTATTTATAAATGTATTTGGTTCAGAATTTCGTTTTGCCTCAGATGTGCCAGGAACACTTATCTCTCAGTGACTGAGGGGAGACTTTGATATTACTAAGAATTCACTTAAAAATAGAAATTAATTTGTAATATTAAATTATTTAATTGTAAGTTGAATTAGAAATTCACAGTTTCTATGAAGCACACTTCTACCTTAGTATCTTGTGTCTAGTTAGGGTTTCCTAAAGCTCCTGTACTCATCTTTTTCTCATCTCATTCACAAGTGTTTGCTTTTTAAATATTTTTCCTATCATAGAGACATTGATTATTGGGAGATTAAATTTATACATGCCTCCAAGTTTGTAATTTTCTTCATTTTAATAACTAGCACCAGAATTTCCCTTTCTTCTTAAAAAACATTTTCAGGAATTTCTTCAAGGTCAAAGACATTTAAAATTTTGTTCTTCCCTGCATTTCTTTGAATTATCTCAAGTCCATTGTGACTAGTAGGTCCTGAGCATAGCATTAGCATTCATGATTTGGAGGTATTCTGTTTTTTCTCTTGCCATTTTGATTTTTAGGCATAAATATTGTGTGTGTGTATTTCATAACTGTAACTAATGTCAAGCTCAAAATTTTGTCTACATTAATATATAGTATTATTTAACATGTTACATTAGTAACATCAAATTTTCGAGCCTCATTTGGCAGTTTGGGGAATGAATGGCTTTTCTCTATGTAATTGCTAAGTGTAAAGCTTTTTTCTTTACAGTAATAAACTTTTGATTTTACTTATTTCTATAAGAGATCTTGCTGAAGTGAATTATGCTTTCCTGCATATATGAGTCCTGCCCAGCTAATCCCTGCCAGCCATACTCCACTTCCTTGAGGTTCTCACATCACTTTGTACAAGTAGCGCTTATTAGATTGTGTGTTTGTGTTCTGTGTACGCATCTGCAATCTGCATCTGACAGCTTGCATCTGGAGGACTGCATCTGAAGGACTGCAAGCTCGTTTTCTTATTTATATCTATAATAAAATCTGATGACAAATGACATGGTTTTGTGAATAAAAGAAAGCAACAACATTAACAAGTTATTTATGTTAATTGTCTACCTGTAGAATAAAACTATGATGCTCTTGAAAAGGATTATGTTTATATGAAATTTTTTCCTTCAGTAAGTAGCGTTATACTGTTTGTGCTTGCTTTTTTTTTTTCTTAAGGTTTTATTTATTTATTCATGAGAGATACAAAGAGAGAGGCAGAGACACAGGCAGAGAGAGAAGCAGGCTCCCTGTGGGGAGCCTGATGCGGGTCTTGATCCCAGGACTTCAGGATCATGACCTGAGGACGTGAGCCCCTGAGCCGAAGGCAGACACTCAACCACTGAGCCACCCAGGCATCCCTCTCTTTGTGCTTTAATGCTGGTAGTTCATTTTTTTTCTCCTCCTATTAGTATCCATTTATAGCTAATATAATCTCATTTTACCAAAGTTTGATATCTATGAGGGTTCGATGTTTACAAAAAATTTCTTAGTAGATATTCTATGTAATTTTTGTGATGGTGATTTGTCCTTTCTTTTTTCATTTCATTTCATTCCTTACTATTCCACTCCATCTGAAGTCATAGTAGTATGAGTTGACTGTGGTCAGCCTGGTTAGATTTACTGCTAATGGAGAAAAGTGAAGCCACACTCTCTGATACACGTTACTAGCACACACATTTCCTTTTCTGTTGTTTGAATGAAGTGGGAGGAAATCTGATGCCATCTAGTTTATCTCCCTCTCTTTGTAAACCATTAAAGGGAGGTGCACCTGGGTGGCTTAGTCCATTCGGTGTCTTTTAGTTTTGCCTCAGGTCATGATCTCAAGGTCTTGGGATCAAGCCCTGCATCTCAGCTGGGAGTCTGCTTGAGATTCTCTCTCCTCTGCCCTACCCCCTCTCACATATACCCACGTACTCTCTCTCTCAAATAAATCTTTTTTAAAAAAGCCCATTAAATAGGGACTCCTGGATGGCTCAGTAGTTGAGCATCTGCCTTTGGCTCAGGTCATGACCCCAGGGTCCCAGGATCCAACAGGGAGCCTGCTTCTCCCTCTGCTGTCTCTGCCTCTCTCTATGTCTCTCATGAGTAAATAAATAAAATCTTTTTAAATAAAAATAAAACACCCATTAAATAATATAGAATTTTTTTATTTTTTCAGATATCAATTTGCTGTTCTTAGCTATTATACATTAACACTTGAAAAACATAAGCAATACTCAAAATTTTCATTAGAAAATTAAATAAAGTTGAAGGATGCATAGAAATAGAAGTATTTGCTGTGGTGTTAGGTGAAAATGTGTGGTCATTTTGCATATGACTGCTACTTTCATTCTCCAACACACACAAAAATTTATACAAGAAGGGAAGGAGCAAAAGCTAAGATCCTTTAAGAAAGGGAGGTTTGTTTTTTTGTTTTTGCTTAAAATTTTTATTTATGCTTCTTAATTTTTTTTAGGAAGGGGAAGATTAGAAATACGCCTGTGTTTAGATATTAGAATGTTAACAAGTAAAAGTGGTGTATTACAAATTGTAATTGTATCTGCATATTCTATATTTCCTTATGTAATCTTATGCCTTAGTATCTGTTATTTCTGGGTAGCAGGATCTTAAAATTTTTTCAACGTTCAGCTTTAATATTACCCATGTGTTTTAATATTACCACTCTTCACATGGAGATTCCTTCTTTAGATTTCTCATATTACTCTCTGCACATACATATATTTTAGTACTTATTAGCTAGTTGTATATGTGTTAGACTTCACAACAGCCTGAGGCATTGAAGAAAATGCAGACTCTGGAGCCGGAATGATCTGGATTCAAGTTCTTGTTCTGTCACTGATTTTATGACGCTAAACATATTTAATCTCTCTGAACCTGAGTCCTCATTCTAAATTGGAGTCAGTGCTACCTAATTCATAAGAACATGGTGAAGATGATAGCCACATATGTATGTAAAGAGATTACACCTTCTTGTAGATGTTCAGTAACTTCTCAAGTCACAAAGCCTTGGATTGTGCTGCTCCTTTTGAATTACACACCTACTTCTCCTGGAACATACCGGCTGTCTGAATCAGGAAGACTTGGTCAAGTTGATGACTCTAAATGTCATTGAAGTTGTTTTGTTATGTCAGTAGGGTTTTCATCAGCTCATAGTACTAACTTATCCAGATATTTTCTACAATATTTGGTATATTGGTTTTTTAAATTTATTGTTTATTTTCCATTTACTTAGAACATTCAGAGTTCTTGGTTACCAGAGAATCCTAAATATCCCTTTGATTACATTATTTTTATGTTTTTCACATCAGACCGATATTTCTCAACCTTTTTTTTCATTATCACACTCAAGGAGCCTTTTCAGATGGTTTTTCTTAATTACTTCCTCTCCCTTATGAAATTTTAATTCCACAGATAAGACTGTATATGTTTATGTGTTGTATGTACGTCTGTGCTTTATCCTTAAAAAGGGTAAGGCTTTGTCACACCTCTCTCCAAAGAACCATTTTTTATCTCCTTGGAGTGCTATCCCATGCATTTAGATCTTTTAGACATTGATTGTGTAGATAATGATTCAGAGCTTGGGTTAGAGTTGGGTAACTCTGAGAGTGAATCCAGGCAACTCCATTAATTAGCTGTGTGAACTTTTGTCTGTTTCTTAAGCTTTTCCTCATCTGTGAAACGGGAATACTAACATCGTTGTCTTCCTAAGCATTAAATGACAATTAAATGAGGTAGTTAGTGCAATATGTTCAGCACATATTAATTGTCTCATATATATTAGCTATTATTTTATTGTATTATGATCACAACATCCATTCTGTTTCATTTGAACCGAAGACTTGAAATATCTAACAGTTCTCTTTTCTTATTTATTACTCACTGCCTTTGGAAGGAACAGGAGATAAAAGACCTTCAGAGCTCCTAGAAAGCTAATTGGGAAGAAAATTTCTTAGCATGTATATAACTACATGTAAAGTAGTATAATGCATTTATTTACATGGCGTCTTGAACCACAGATTATTGTTTTATTAAATAATTCTGGATTCTCTTTTTAGATATTTGATTTAATGGATGCCAAAGCACGTGCTGATTGTATCAAAGAAATTGATCTCCTTAAGGTAAATAAACACATTGTTGACTATTTTGAACATAGATGAGCATGTTAATTAAAGTGATTTATGAAAATATTACACTTACAAGCAAAAAGATTTTTAAAATTTATGCCACACCGGTTTTCAGTAACATTATATAAATTTGTGTCTCAGTATATGGAAGAATGTGGTTATTTTTTGGATTCATTGTAAAATAATTTAATCTGAACATTAGGTAAGATTAGCTCCCCTCTCCCCCTGCCATTTGAAACTAGGAAATAGAGAAAATGGGCATAAAACATTAAACAAATTTTTTCTTGACTGTCCCAATTAGACATATTATAAAGGCTAAATAACAAATGCATATCAGTATTATCTCAAGATGTAATATATTGAGAATATGAACTGATCCAAATGGGCACAAGCTTTATATAATATTTCTGTATCTTTTTTTCCATCCTTAGAAAGGATGTTGTAAAGAGTATGTCAGAATTAGCTTTTCAGTTTCTCATCCACTCAAAGGATATGTTTGAAATTTCAGTTATCTCTGCATGGCTTTTATTCTAGTAAAATTTCCTTTGAGAAATGCTGTAGCTTACATTATATTTTTAACTGTTAGATAAGACTTGGATGTTTTTTATGCCATACATTTTTGTTTGTGCCTAAAATGAATCCAGTTTATCAAAGAAGATAAGAGTCAGATCAAAATGAACCATGCTTTCCATCTGTTTTGTTAGTTGTAGTTATTTCCTGGGCCATGAAGTAACAGTTTTATAAATATATATATATATATATATATATATATTGTTATTTGAGAAATAAAATATATTGTCATAGAAGATGTGGAGGAAAAACCTGTAAGTAGAAGGAAGAAAATCATATGTATATATACTCTGGGAGAATTCTTGAATAGTTTTCTTTGAGAAACTATTTGTCTTATGTTAACTTGCTTAAAGATTGAACAGAAAGCAAATCATATAAAAGGATTATCAATGTGTATAGACTGATGCATATATTCTATAAGGTGAAATTTTTCTTAGGATCATTTAACAAATCAACCTATAGGTAAACTTAAAACTCTGTATATTTATATTAATTGATGTAAAACCTATAGAGTATAGTAGATGTCCTTTTATTTTGTTTTAAATCACTGGCTGCAGTTACATAAGGATAGAGCCAACTTGAAAATAAGAGTGAAAAGGAATACTTTATTTACCATTGAGTGCCATTAATGACAGTGCCCATTTTGAAAGATATGATTTTTAGCAGTTGATGCTGTATTTCTGCCATTTGTTTATATTTATATATTTATTGGATATAGCACATACTTTAAAAAATTTTAAGTGCATAATTTACTCTATTTCTAATAAAATATTAAAATTAATTGATATCTAATATTATTTTCAATAATTACAATATTTGTTTCAAAATTCACTAAAGAAAATACACTGTCATGTTAAGATTTCTATAACTTAAAAGTACAAAACAGTAACTGAGTTTATTCTTAGGAAACTATAAGTGATTCTTGAGAATTTACAGTAAGAAAACTTTCTGGTACCCGTTTTGTGTGTGTGTGTGTGTGTCTTTTTTCCATCAGCAACTCAACCATCCAAATGTAATTAAATATTATGCATCATTCATTGAAGATAATGAACTTAACATAGTTTTGGAATTAGCTGATGCTGGTGATCTATCCAGAATGATAAAGGTAAGGCATTGTTTGTTTGTTTTTTAAACTAAGTATTTATTTTTTCTGATAGAATTGCTCTTTAAAGATACAGGTATATCTGAAACTTTAAAGACCTCAGTTCAATACTTTAACATGTGGTAAATGTGTAACGAATGATAAATAGTAGTGATTATGAACCTGATTTACCTGGTGATACTGAACTAAGAAGTGTGAACACTCTGAAATCAGCTTGGAAGTAGACCAACAGATTTGTCTTCTGTAAGCTGAAGTTAAAATTTCACAACTTGATTTTTCTGAGCAGACCACCCTTGATCTTGTATCTTTGGACATCAGGCAGAGGGGGACAGAAAGACAATCTAGTGAATCCTAATCTGTTCCTACGAGGGATTCATCAAAGAATAAAGTGGACTTTTCATTCAGACCTTGCACATCAAACCCTAACTCAACCACTTAAAAGTTTAATTGTCTTTTCCAAGAGCATATTCATTGGGTTTAAGTTCAGCTACAAGTTACAGAAATCCCCAAATTTCAGTGTTCTAAAAACTGCTTGTCCTTAGGGAAGTTACTTCTGTGTACCACAGTTTTTCAAAAACAAAATAATGAAAATTCTACAATTCTACTTCATAGAATTGTTGTAAATAATTAATTGACATTTATTCAGACATGAGAACTGTGTCTCACACATGCTAAGGCTATTCAAATGGAAGCTGCTGCTGTATTACTATTGTTATTTCTCTGTTTCATAAGAATCTGGGGCTGTTATGGCAGCTCTGATCTATCAAATTCTCAGAAACCAAGCCTGTTTGCAGCTGATCAAGTCACCTTTCCTAGGCATGTAGGGACACAGAGTACTTGCTGGCTGTACCTTGAGGCATGTTACTGAATACTGCCACACATTTTTAGCTTCATCCCTTTGGCCAGAGTTTAGTCTTATGAACATGCGTAGCTGCAAGGGAGGCTGGCATATATAGCCTTCTTTTGGCTGGTCATATGCTAAACCTTAATTACTAAAGCTAAACTTTACTCAGGAAGACATGTTGAGCAAGACGGAAATTGGTGAAGACAAACCAAATGAGAAAAGCAAGACTATTTTTTCGGAGCTTGCTGTAGCAAGGGAGTCGACCATTGTCATTAATGCTTTGACAGAGATTCACAGGCAGGCAGAGAAATAGAAAATCTTTATAATGGGAAAAATAAACCTTTAGGTATGACCTGTTTAGAGGCTGTTGGCATACAGAAGCTTTACATGAGCTGCTTAAAAGTGGGGCATCTCATCTGCAGGTACAGGGACAAAAATTAGGGAAGCTGTCAGTTATTAATCAAGTCCTGGGCACTTGGACTTGGGGCTGATTGTTATAGAGTTATTATTTAGCTTCCTGCATTGTCACTGGAGACAGCAATCTGGCTTCCTGCACACCTGACATAGCAGGCTGGCGTCCTTGGTTGTTTGTGATGGATTAAAGGTTGGCTTTCTGGTCGGGTTGCTGAAGGCTGTGGTTCAAAGTTCTGTTTTTCTATGATCTGGGCCTTGTCTGTATATCCAGTCTCTCAACAGACAATGGAACACAACTGTAATCTCTGCTACATGGAGTTATTGTAAGGCATTCTTAAAAACAATGTTAGATGCTTTATATATATTACTGTATTTGCTGTTTGTTCAAAAGGATTCTGGGGGTCGATCTGACACTTGGAGAAGATAGTCATCATTACTAGTAAACAGAAGAACTGATATTTGAAATTAGGGTTTATCTGATGCAAAATTTCATGTGTTTGTTTTCCTTTAGTGGCCCTGAAAGATTTTTATATCACAGAACTCCTTTGAAAAATCAGAAGAAAACCCTTGACCTTCTCCCCAGAAAGATGTCGATGCATACACAATTTGCCTTCCATCACAAAGCCTCGACAGATTCTCTGATCCAGGAGCTCACAGGTTCTCTAGCAGTAGCTGGGAACCCTGCTCGCCAGCGTGATGAGTGCAGTGTCAGCCACTTAACTTCTCGTAGGCTTAGTTGCCTCATCCATAAGATGGAGGCAGTTTTGAGATTGCTTTGTAAAATATAAAAATACTACACAACAGAGAGGTAATATATATATATTTTTTTTATCACAGAATGCTGTCGAGCTGACTCTGTTTAAAGTCCCATGGTGAGAGTGACTCACTTCTAATCGGTTATCTGATTTTCTGTTTTAGGGACTTCCCACCACTAGTACAAACTGTCTTTGCAAATTAATGAACAATTAAAAAAAGTGATTTTAATTTTAAAAAGGCTTGCAAACACAAGTGCAAGATTTTTAAAACCGCTATCAAGATGAGACATATAAAAGCAAATGTAGATAGTCTTCGTAAGAGAGACAGCTAATCTACAATTCTTGGCTTAAACTTTAAGCACAAGTTATTTAAATACTTACAGTAGGAAGCAAAGAGGCAAATCTTCATTGAGCTGAAGGTAGATAAAAAATAAACAATTTCAGTTATTGAGTCTTGCCCCTGATTGAGAGATCATTGATTTAGAGTTTTGATTGTCGTCTAAAGGTTTTGCTCTTTTCTGGTCTAGCTTTCTTTCTTTGCTACTGTTTCTCCACACTTTCATATTGCTGTCCCTGGCCCGTTGCCACGGCATGCCGGAGCCCATGGGTTTACCCTGGAAGAGTACTCTTGAGAAAACTAGGGCAAGATCACAGTGCCTTACAGAAGAAGCCCTGTGGTCTGCATCTTTAGCAGATTCAGATCTCTTAAGCCAATAAAGGAGAGCAAAATTTGTCAGCATGTTTTTATATTTATTGTGGTGATGAACTCACCTCCCATATTTAAATGGCTCTGGCCATCAGTTGACGTTTTCTTTTTTTTTTTTCAGTTGACGTTTTCAAGGAATTTTTTAATCACCTGACCCTGCAGATATAGTAAGATCTATTCAGATCTTTGTGTTTGGTAATGAATAGTAACACACTGTTAGAGACTTGATAACTATACTCTTAAAGTATCCTTGGGGCTTCTGGCTAAAATTTGAAGGTATCTATCGTGTGAAAGCTTACTTAGGAGACTTTAAAAAAAATTAAAGATATCAAATGATTGCTTAAAATAAGTTGCATGTTTATAGAACAATTTATTGTACTTCAATAGAACTGAAGTAGTTCTTTAGAGAATTGGTAATATCATTCTTCCTTCCCATCTTGTAGACATTATTGTATAAGCCTTTAATGATCCTATCCTTTGGGGCCCCTGGGGGGAATTTAGTCTCCCTAAATTCAGTTTAGTGTCTGCCTTCAGCTTAGATCACGGTCTCAGGGTCCTGGGATAGAGCCCCTGGGTTGGGTTCCCTGCTCAGCATGGAGTCGGCTTCTCCTTCTCCCTCTGCCTCCTGCTCACATGCACGTGAGCACGTGCTCTCTCAAATAAATAATAAAGAAATAATCTTTTAAAAAAATGATCCTATCCTTTATTGTAGGTACATTCATCTTCCTCACCAAGATATAAGAGAGTCTGGGTCCGATTTCCCAGATCCTCTCGGAGGTTGAAAGTTACATTGCCAAACCTGTAGATCTTAGAATAGTCTCAGCATAATGGCCATAACAGAAATTTTGACTAAGAAGTTTCACATGAGTAGAGTACTTTCATATCTGGTTACATTTATGTATGTCTTTTATGATAAAGAAGGACAATGAGGAGAGAGGGGTGTTGCTATTTTAAGTAGGATGATGAAAGAAGACCGTCCTGACCTAAGTCCAACACCCCCCACCTCCACCTGCCATTTCCTTCATACTGTTCTGGTTGTTTTTCTCTCACAGACACTCACTCCTGACCCTGTTTCCAACCCCCCAAGAAATGGCTCTTGAATGACCTCGGACATTAAGTCCAGCGGACTTCATCCAGTGCTCCTTCTACCTAATGTCTCAGCTGCTTCTCTTACCCTCCTTCTTGGAATTCTCCTCCTCTGGCTCATTGAGTCCCACAGTGCCGTGGTTTCCTTCCTGCCTCTTTGGATGCTCTGATTCTTCTTAACTGGATCATTCTCTCCTCTTGGTCCTTCATGATAGAGTTTCAAAAGTTTCAGTCCTGGCTTTGAAAAAACCTTTCCTTCTTCCTTTATACTCGCTTCATAGTTGATGTCCTTCCTGCCCATGGATTCAGTTCCTTTCTGTGTGCTTGTTTTCTAACTTTTTATCTTCCATCTAGAGCAGTCTTTTAATTTTGAATTCATGTTAGCTCAACACCTCTGTAAAGAAATTCATGATCTTCCCCACAGACTGCCCTCCTCCCACGTTTCCTAACTCGAAGTTTGGCACCAGTCTGCCCAGTCATGCACGCCGGAGCCCAGGACTCTTCTTTGACACCTCTGTCTCCTTTACCTCCCACTTCTGGTCTATCATCAAGTTCAGTTTATTTTTCTCTTAAATGATTTCCATATATTCCACTCCAGCTCTGTTTCCATTTCTCTCCCTGAAGTATCACCATCTCCTACCTGGAGAGCAGGAGCTTTTAAACTAATCTTCCAGTACCCAGCACCCATTTTTCAAATCTGTTTCTCCATCAGGTTTTAAGTGAGGTGAGGAAGGAGTGGGGGGAAAAAAGAACAGAAAATCCTCTTCTTAAAATCCTGCTTGGGTTTCCTAATTGACGTTAAAGATGTTTGTCAAGATCTACTAAAACTGTGTGATCCAGAATCTTAGACGGAAGAATCTGAGTTTCTTTTGTGACCTCACATATCTCTAGTGCTTAGGACAGAGCTCTGCACAGAGTAGGTGCTCAGTAAACACCTGCTGTAGAAGGTGCAGACACCTTCTGTTTCTGGGGCGGTGCCTGGCTCATAGTAGTAACTCAATAAATTTGTGGTCATCGAGTTCATAAAAGGTGATTATCTCCTTCCTCCCTCCCTCGCTCCCTTCCAAGTTGATTCTTTTTACCTCTGTTGCCCTTCTCTGTTCCGGGGGCCCCTGGGTGAATATGGGTGGTGGTTTCATGCTTTTTCGCTCTGGTCTCATGGGGAGTTGCTAAGATAATTTACCAGTATACTGACATG